AAATCATTGAAACGACGAAGCAAGGAAATCTGGTATTTTATGGGTGTGTTTGAGTCACATTATTTTGGAAGATTATATTTTGGAATAGTAAATTGATGGAGAAAGTGTTGTTAAAAAAGAAGGAAACGTTATTGATGTGATAGAAAATATTATTTTATTGAAAAATGTGTGGTTGAAAATGAGTAGAAGAATGAGAATAAAAAATTTTATGTGGCTCAAACAGGGGCTATATTGATTTTGTTATTTTAATAGATATATTTGATGATAGTTGCCAAATATTTCTATAGATATTTTAGGCAGATTATATTTGTAATCTTAAAAAGACAAAATCAATGTTAGAATTAGAGTCAATGTGATAATGCAATGAAAGTAGCTTGAGAATTTTTAAAACAATGTAGTCTATTGTTGTTTTAATATTGTTTCTTGAAAACTTAAAGCAAATAATCATGAAATAATGACTTCATTTAGGGTGGGGGGTCTTGGATTGAGAAGCCTTGTTTTATTTAACAAGACATTGTTGGGCAAGTGGTAGTGCCGATTTGGAATGGAGAGGGAGAGCTTCTGGAGAGAAATTACTGGGTGAAATATGGTGTCTTGGAGGGGGTGGCACTCGGGTGAGGGTCGTGGTTCTTATGGGATAAGCTTGTGGAAGTATATCATGAAAGGATGAAGCGATTTTCAGAATAGATTGGCTTTTATGGTGGGGAACGGGATGGATGTCAGAATTTGGGATGACTGTTGGTGTGGAGATCAAACATTAAAAATGAGTTTTCCTTCTTTACATCGCATTGTCTTGGAGCCTTCAGCTATGGTGAGTGATGCTATGATTATATCTAATGGGAATCCTAGCTGGAATATCGCTTTCGGGAGGGGCTTACATGACTGAGAACTGGATGACTATGCATTGTTTTTGGTCTCTCTGTATGATGTGCACATTCAGGTAGGAGAGGACGACTGCAGCAGGTGGAGGGTGACACAAAATGGTTTGTTCTCTGTTCGTACTTATTTCAGATCATTATTAGAACCTATTGATAGCTCATTCCCTTGGCAAAGGATCTGGAAAAGTAAATTATCTCAAATGGTGACTTTTTTACTATGGACGGTGGTGAGGAGACATGTGTTAACGGCGGATAATCTTCGAAGAAAGGGCTATTGTATTACAGAGTGGTGCTATATGTGTAAGAAGGATGGAGAGACAATTGATAATTTGTTCATTCATTGTGACGGTGTTAGTTGGATGTGGAATGATATTCTGGGTTCGTAACATTTAAGTTAGGTATTGCCAAAGCGTATCAAGGAGGTGGTGTGGGCATGGAAAATAAAGTTTCAACATAAGAATAGCAAGTTTGTTTGGGATCTCATTTCAGGTTGCATCATTGGTGTGTGTGGAGAGAACGAAACGGCAGATGCTTTGAAGACCAAATGCGGACGATAGAGCAATTTAGTGAACTGTTTTACTTGATTTTGTATAGTTGGTTTAAGGCTGCAACCATTAGTCCGATAGAAGGGTTGCCGAATTTTTTTCCTTTTTTTCTTGTTTAAACTGATAATGCACTCCTTTTGTGTTATCTTTTACTTTTGATCTATAAAATTACGTGATTACCTATAAAATTTTTTTTATATATCTACTCTTTGCATCCTTTGTGGGACTGATGGATTATCTGTTTTCAGTATCTGGAATGATATACTTGCCAAAAAGAATTGATAATGGTGTTGCTTGAAAGTTCTGTTAGAAATTGAATTTAGGGTAGAAAAGGCAAAAAACAGAGAGAAGGGAAAAACAAAATACTATAAAGATGTCCTTCTTAATGAATATATGCTTAACATGTTTGTCGTTTGGAATTAAAATATTTATAAACAGTTGAGACTGAAGGGTAACTACAGTGGTTGATTAGCCTCTGTTCTAGTATCATTATGCAGTGCTTCCTACAATATGAGTATTCGGTAATACAGATTTTCTACTCTTTACCAACTATATTAGTTCTGACGAACTTCTGGTTGAATATTAAACATTGTGAGATCTTGATATTTTGCCACCATGGCCCAAGTCTTGATATTTCTGTTTCTTTTTTTGTCGTTTCTTTGTTTATCGGTAAATGTACTTGGACCATTGTCTCTATTCTCCCCTCTCTGTTGGTCCAGGTTGGTAATGGCCCAGAACAGCGTTGCATTGAACTTGAACTGTAAGGTTCTTGCCATCAAGCAACCAATACCACTAACAGCGAGGACAACTTCTTTACAAGATAGTTCAATTAACATGGACTTCTCACAAATTGAAATAGCTACATTGAGGTGAGATTTTAATTATTTTCTTGAGCCACCCCATTCAATACTGATGTCTGCTCAATAGAGCCACCGTCTTTTCTGGCTTTACATTTCTTCGTTTTTTTTTTCTGTTTAGTGCTTGCGTGTGTGTGTGAGTAGGGGTGGTGCGGGCGGGCATTCAGTTTCAGTTGATCTAGTTAGAGATTTGGACATATTCTCATGGTAATGACTCTAATGTCAATAAGAGGAATTTTTTTATGTGGATGCTCAAAATTACATGCAGTTGTGAGTAATATCAATAAAATACACGCTAAAGTGGCACTTTATTGACCTTTTATACTGATTACAAATAATGTTCGAGGAGTAATTTTTACAATTCAAATTATTCACCTAATTTACATTTTTCCCAATCTAGCCCCTATTTTCTTATTGCGACTATGGACAATTTGAGAATTTGCAATCTCTATATTCCTAAAGAATAGTCAAACTGCAAAAATGACAAAATTGCCATTGCTGTAATTTGTGCACCTTATATTAACACAAAAAAATGACTAATATTACTTAAAATATATTATGATTTCGCTAGTGATAGCATCACTTGCTTAATGAATTTGAGAGCTTACAGTAACAATGTAATCGAACTGTTGTTGTGCACGTGCATATTCTTAAACTCTGGATAATGAATCCGTTTCCCTGCTAATACTCTTGTAATGTGGTTCTCAAGAATGGCTGTAACAGTAAAGATTGAATGACTCGAATAAGAAAACAAAACCTTGAACTTCTTTATTCTTTTTCGATGGTATCAAGACCATTGCTGGTCGATATGAAAGTTTCAACATGAAGTTTCTAATGATAAGAGCATGTAAACTGTTTAAATTGATGAATGGTGCAGTGTCCCTGAGGTTCCTCCTCCGAAAATCCAATACCAAATCTGTCCAGACCCTTCTGCTATTATATGGAGATCCAGGCAATCAAGAAGAACGAGAGCTTCATGAAAAAGGTTTCATCTTTGTATCTAGAAAACAAGTATTAAAGATTAATTTTGCTACAATAGACCGATGTACAATACAAATGGACAGCTTTGGATTTGATTCGCACAGCAGATTTATACAAGGAAAGTGAAACTGAAATAGTGTAGGATAATCTTCTCGATTGCTATTGTTGTTTTGTTGCATGTTTGTTGGCGTGGATTATAAAGTATTGAGCTATATTATAAAAGAAATAAAGAATTTTTTTATTTTTTGTACATTCTAGTGTTCAGTGCTATCCACATTCAGAATTTCGAGCCAGATAGGCACTAAGACCGCTGCTCTGTGCGTGTTTTCATATATGCTAGTTGCCATTTCTTTCAGTTTACGATTACCAGAACTTTCTTTAAACCCTGATAAATTTTTTGTTTAGTTGGCGGCCTTTAAGATGCCTATACCTTTTAGTTGGAATTGTAATAAACTCTTATTGTAGATCACTAGAAGATGCTAAGATAAACATTCAAGTTAAAACAAAGATACTGCCCCTAATTCTTCACTCTTAAATCTCTCCTCTATCTGATACAGCATCAACTCTCACCGTCCTCTATTACCTGACGGTCAAGCTATCCAAACAAGAAAAATGTATACCAACCTGTACTGGGTAGGTAGGGATTGTTGTTGCTTTTGTAACGCTTGCTTCTATCCATGTATAGTGCTACCCCATATCTGGAATCTTCAGGTCGGATTAGCATGGTTACTGCCTTAGTCTCTGATCCGCCGAATAGCTGATTCGTTTGTCGGGGTTCGGCCACCTAAGCAAAGTCAAAGAACGTGGGATGCATTTGTAAAGAACATATATTTTGAAATCGTTGAGTCGACACCAATTGGCATTAACACGATTTAAGAAGTCGATAACAAAGATAAATTTACTTGGTGAAAATGTCATGTTGTCTAGAGCTATTAAGAGTTACAGATTGTTGACACTTCACTTTTAAATTACTTGGTAAAAATGGCGTGAATGTAGAGTTATTAAGAGCTACAGATTGTTGATACTTGATGTGCATCTATACATACTATGAAAATTTAGTATCTAACAGCATATTCTAGGCACATTCTTTCAGATAGACTTGGAACATCTTGTATTGGGTTTTACTAGTTGCGTTGGATTCAATTGGTTTGGGCTTGTCACCTATGTGAAGGGAAGCCATACTCCGCAACATGGGATGAGGTGATGTATTGGGTCGAAAGGGAACTTGATGCTATCTTATTCTATTATCAAATAGTCGAGAGAAGTTGATTGATAACTAGAGTTAGAAATAACCAACTTCATTTCTTTTCCATCATTTCCTTTTCTTGAATCCATGGAGGACTCATCACATTTAAAATATTCATGCGGTGGACAACTCAATCAAACGATGTTCTTGAATTTGTTGAGACTTAAAAGGACGTATTTATGATTTATTCAAAACTTGAGGGGTTAAATGTAATTCTAATGTACCCCATCTTGTATCCTACGGTCGAGGATCACCAAGATTACCAACAAGACATGCATTACCGTTGATCCGTCCAACAAATCTCGAAAAGAAAAAGTCTTCAGTTTCAACATTATGCCTAGGGAACTAAACTCCAAACCCCCTCCATCCTCCCACGTGTGCGACTGCATGAAAACAATCACACGCGTCCCGATTCCATTCATTTCTCCCATACCTCACTATTCTTCACCAAATCCAAATCTAAATCTATCTCCTTATCTCTCTCTACTCAACAATGGCAGATCAGTCTCAGAGGCAGCAGTATGCAAGAGGCAGCAATACCAGATCATTTGTACATAAACTGCAAGTGCAATCCCCTAATTCAACCCAACTCATTGGGTTCATGACCCTGGTCATCTCCAGTGGCTTTTTGCTTCTGCTTACTGGCCTGACATTGACTGTTACGGTTCTTGGGCTTATCTTCTTCACGCCATTAATCTTCATTTCAAGCCCCATATGGGTCCCTGTTGGAACCATTATCTTTATTGTCATTGCTGGATTTCTTTCCTTTTCGGGGTTTGGGATTGGTGCTGTGGTTGTGATTTCTTGGCTGTACAAGTATTTCAGGGGGTTCCACCCGGCCGGTTCCAATAGAGTCGATTATGCCAGAAGCCGAATTGCGGATACTGCGAGCCACATGAAGGATTACGCCAGAGAGTACGGTGAGTACTGGCAGCGAAAAGCTAAGGATGCATCTCCTGGAGCTTGAATGCCGAGTGAATCTTTACAAGATTGTGGACAATCTTTTTAACATTTTGTATTAGCTTTTTTGGTTATTGTGCCTTTTTCTTTTTCTTGCTTTTCCTGCGGATTTTGATGTCTCAAACGAATTCCAGGTTTATATATATATAGCACCTTTTACTTGAATCTGTTTGTGAATAGAAAACTGAATTTGAATTAAGGGAATTCTAGTACTTATCTGTCCAGATATTACATTGCTGTTAGCCAGCGATTTTGATCTTAGAATCTTTGGCTAATATGGGTGATTGAAAGAAATTAGGTTTAAGAGCTTATTTGTGAAAAGATACAACCATAGAATGAGGTTGAAGGAAATTGTTGAGAACTAGGCTAAATAATTAAAGAAAAAAATAATATGAGCAATATAAAAATAATGAATCACGTCTGAATCAAGATTTTTGTGGAGAAGGGGGAGAATTTATTATACCAAGAAATCAAAATTGTCTTCACAAGTTTGATGTTTTCAACTTAAATCTAAATAATTTTCTCAAGTTTTTAATGTATATAACAATTATTTAATTGTTATCTTGAGTTTATAAAGAGCCTACACCTCGTAGAGTATATATAAGAGCCAAATTTTGGAATTACGTGTGAAGTAGAACGCAAAAAATTGCTTTAGAAATCAACAAGGACTCTTTTTTCCCATCCGGGTGGCGCCGCCTTGTTTCTTGCTAAGCGCTGCGGTGCCCTGGGGTTGGCGTCGCGGCGCCCAGCCACTGTTAGCTCTTTGCTCTTCTGGTGCCGCGACCTCGTGCCCAGGCTTCATCCTAATGCTTTCAAAACACTTTTTCATCAATCCCAAAGTACTTATCCCAATCAAACTCTCAATCCATGATGAAGTTTAATCACTTATGAAATCGAATTTTTAAACCAATATTATCTAAGCTTCTTCCATGAATCAAATTTTCAAATCACATGGAATTTGAGTCACAAACATAACATAAATCTTCAATGCATTAAAAATCTCGAAGATCACAACATTGCTGGGAAGAAGGAGTCGAGACATGAGAATGAATCTACAGGATTGCACTTGGAAATATTATTCTTAAATTATTTGTTATCTTTTCTTGTTTGTAGAATTATCAATGTCTGCTTCTGTAAGCAAGGCATGATTAGTGTTTGAATAATGAGTCGAGTGAGGAAAAATCAAAGTTTAATTATTTGTAATCTTTATTATTTTCTAGAATTGTCCATGTCTGCCAATATAAGCAAGGCATGATTGTAGTGTGTGGATAACGAGTGGAGTGAGGAAAAATCAAAGTTTGGTTTAATTATTTTTAATCTTTTTTATTTTTGAGTTGTCCATGTCTGCCAATATAAGCAAGATATGATTATAGTGGTTGAATAACGAGTGGAGTGCGGAAAATTGAGTCTCGGCTATTTGAATATTGATCATCGTAACAACGAATATAGTGGTCGGCGCGTCCACTTTCCCAATGATTTGTGTTAAGACTCTGTCATTTACTAATTAGACTGCTGGCATGGGTGAAAGCGGACTCTCCCAATGATATGATTATTTGAATATTGAATAACGAGTGGAGTGTGGAAAATTGAGTCTCGGCTATTTGAATATTGATCATCATAACAATGAATATAAATGAAACAACTAGTGGTCTGGTGCGTCCACTTTCCCAATGATTTGTGTTAAGATTCTGTCATTTTTAAATTTGCTATTATCTATGTTGCACAACAAACATATTAATGAAGAGGATATATTTAACGTTGGTAGTCCACATAATCCTACCAATGAAATTGGAAGAAGAAACATGAATCTGGAAGAAGATTCATGATTGTTGGTACTTGGTAGTCCAAAACTGAAGTAGGATAATGAATCTGTAGGATTCATGAATGGCATCAAATTTATTAGTCTAGATGATCATAGTGGTAAGTGTGAATAAAGTTCATCAAGTCACTGAAACTTTTAAATGTAAGGATGTAAGTCTCATTCACTTATTGATAGTAGCACTGATGCTCGGCCCTTTAGAGAAATAGCATTACTTCAACCGAAACTACGAGACCGCGAAAGATTTTCTAAAGAACAAGGTCTTTTTTGATTAATCAAGTCAATCCATCGGAGTTCGCCAGCAGCCATCTGGAAGATGGGTGGTTGAGATAAAAGACTCGGTACAAAAGGTAAGGTTGTGGCTCGGATTTTTCGACACGGCCGAAGATGCATCACGAGCTCTAACGCCCGCACCAACTTTGAATTGTCTCAGGCCGAGTTGGATTAATCATTCTGTTCGAGAATATGGAGTCATTTTCCTTCGATGCAATGTGCAGAACAGAAGAGCCCGAGGGGCTTATTGGTGCACTCAAGGCCAAGTTATCTAATAAAAGGAGCAATTCTTCATCTAACATGCAATTGAACTTTCTTGGATCTTCGAATTCGTTTCCAAATAACATGAAAAGTAGTCTACAATCTTTAGCAACAACTGGGGTTTCCAATCCAACTCTTAACAAATTACTACTTTGAAGCCTAGTGATCATGATCATATTGATTCCATTAGAGTGTAGCTTCATGATAGGAATAAGGGGAAAATTGCCAGATTCACACTTGGCAGGATTCTATTTGGAGTTGGGTTAGAAACATTTTTCACCCATCCAATCATATTTTTCCGAGTCAGCCCTGACTATTGCTTGGCAACCGTTTCCCTGGAATAATGCTCCTTGGACAGGGGCAACGACAGGATGGGGAAGACGGGGTAGCATGGCAGATAATAATTGGGTGTAGTGTATTTTTTTTTCAAACTGTCCAATTATGTATTGACATGTGTTCCTTCTGTCATTGAGTCTGTCATTGAACCTGTCACTCTAGCATAACTCTTTTTCCTGAAAAGGAATCATTTTCTTATTTATTGAGACTGTTTGTCGAGCTTCCTCATACTCCATCTCCAATGAAGAAAACTATTTTCGTGAACCTGTCAATATTGTCACTACCATTACCATACTAAAAAAATTGACTTTTCAACAATCAAATGAATGGAATTTGTCATTGGGATCGATGGCTACAAAAATGATTGGGCGCTAAGTTCCATCTCGAACAATAGTGCAATTTTCGTCGTTTGCTTGTGTTTTTAGTAGAAAACTCTCGTCAAAGGGAAAAAATAAAAAATAAAACTGTAACGTCCATAATGATGCGGATCGGGACACAAAAACACTACATTAATTTTAAAAGAGATATAATTTTGCTAAGTCACTATGACTAGCGAGCTTCAAAATTGGGGAATAGCTGAACAACTATACAGACGTATGAATCTGTGAAGTCTTTGTATGGCATCCATTTCTTCTTGAATTTCATTATTATCAAACTTATTTTCAACTATACATTTTATGTGACCCACAACTTTTGAATTATATATTCCATGAACTTTTATCAAAATTTAAAAGAGTGGCTAAGAGAAGGAAGTAAGGGAAACGGAACTTGATGCTAACACATGGATGCCTCCACCAGTCCATAAATTTATTATTTGATAGTCATTATTTCAAAATTCTTTTTTTTTTCTCGTACTCATTTTCAATCACACATTCATATAATAAATATACTGCACGTAAACCCAAAATTTTTCCATATTTTTTAATCATATGTTTTTTAAAAAAATCACTATTAAAATTTTCATTTTATCCATATAATGGTTGTCAAATATGGGCCTAAACTTCACTCTGATGCAACCATCCGCCTAGACAACGGAGTCATTGGGGTGACTATTATATGCGACCATTAGGGAGTGGTAGTGGTGGCATGTGCTAAGCACATGCTGGGATATTACTCTTCGAAAGATGCCAAGGCTGTCGTGTTCATTTTCAACCATATATTCTTCAATAAAATAATATTTTTCATCACATCAATAACTTTTCCTTACTTTTTAATCACATATTTCTCATCATATCACTGTTTAAAATATATTATTTTCTCAATAATATCCATCAAACACACCCTAAGTCAGAGAGGACGTTGGCAGCCAAAGCCTTGATAATGTTGGATATTCTAGTACTTTTATCGGAGGTGACAAGGTTGATTCTAAGATTTTGGAGGCCTTATTCCAAATTTTATATTGACCTTCTATAAATAGTTGAAAAAAATTATGTGTAACGATTAGATTTAAAACAAAAAATAAAATAAAATCAAAGTTACATTTATTATAGTAGTAGAGGGTAGGCGTGATTTGTGATTTTTGAAAGTTGAGATCGTCGTATTTTGACTCAAAGAAGATTTTGGGATTATTTTATGGGCCTTAAAAAATTACTTGGGCTATTAATGTCTTCATTCAAAATTCAGAAAAACTCGTTTATGAATCATTAAAAATATTATGAGGAAATTACAGAAAAACAGGCATTTACTTTTTCAAATTCAAAAATCAGATCTTAAGTTTATTTAATAAAAAAACAAGTATTAATTAAATTTATAATTAAAACCCTTACATCCATACCCTAAATTATTTTCCCTCCCCTCCCCTCCCATCGCATCGCATCCCATCCCATCCCATCCC